AAATTCAACTATTAAATTTTTCAATGGTTAAGATCATGAGTCAGTTGAAGCTGGACCACCATGGAAAACCTGGAAGCACTGGACGGCCGTTTCGTCCTAGTATGAGACTCCTCAGCAGTGCACATCCACGACCCGTCCAATGCTTTCAGGTTTTCCATGGTGGTCTAGCTTCAACTGACTCATGATCTTAACCAATGAAATTACTGTAATATCCGCAAAACCCATCTGATATTAATTTTTTATTTATAAAAAGAAGAATAAAATATGTGGTCAAGTGGATAAATTCATTTGACAGATATCTGTCCAAATATCATATCCATATTATCTAAATGAATATCATCTTGAACAGTAAAACACAGAACAATAGAGAGCACCACCACCAACAACAACAACGACAAAACTCATCAAGATTCGAATCAGTTATTAAGTGATGGTAGAACAGTTTGTTTTGTTCAACAACAACAACAACAAACAACAACAAAAAAGGGATAAATAAATGAAGTGATTCACTTTTCTTTAATGAACAATGTATCACCATCATCATCATCATCATCATCATCATCAATATTCTCATCATTGACACGAATATCATCAATAGTATCATTATTATTCTAATCAATCATAATAATAATATCAAAGAAATTTATACAAAATTCATTCTAGATTATCATGAGTTGGAAATATTCGAAGGAGAAGAAGAAAACTACATTCAAGATTGAATTTGAAGTAGATCCAATGTCTCGCTTGGTAATCTGTTTCAAGCTTTTTCAAGGAAATATAGAATCAAACATCACAATTATCGAATATAAATAAGATAACTGGTTCTCCAACTCTGCCTGGAATCCCCCCGGGGGCTACTGCCGGTCCCAAGCCCGGATAAAGGAGGAGGGTTGGGCATGGGGTTAGCGACCCCCTCCCGTAGAAAACTAACTCGCTAAAAAAAACGCTAACCAGAAAAAATCGCTAACATGATTCTCCGGTTCCTTGTATACTGATAAGGTCATTCAATCAATGTTAGCAATGTTTAAAGTAGTCGATTTACTTTAGTGTGTAAGAGACGTGGTTTGAAATGAAAAGTGTTCAGACAACGGATGGTGTGTATACGTAAGTGAGAAGAAGAAATTTCATCGACTATATATTGTCTCCGGTCGACGAATATTAAGAAAACATAAATATATGACCTTAACACATTTTGTTTCACACCACAAGTCTCCTACACACTAAAGTAAATCGATTACTTTAAACATTACAACGTTGATTAGATGACCTATTCAGTATACAGTGAACCAGAGAACCATGTACTTACTTACTTACGCTTGTTACTCCTCATGAAGGAGCATAGACCGCTCACCAGCATTTTCTATCCAAACCTGACATCGGCAATCCTTTCCAGCTCTTTCCAATTGTTTTTTTTTCATATCTGCTTCTATTTACCGACGTAATATGTTCTTTGACCTTCCACTTTTTCACTTCCCTTCAGGATTCCAAGTTAGGGCATGCCTCAGAGAACCATGTACCTTATTTATATTCGATAATTATGATGTTTGGTCCTATATTTCTTTGAAAAAGCTTGGATCAGATTGTCAGACGAAACGTTAGATTTGCTTCAAATTGAATCACTGAGATTTTACAAATACATTCTCTCTCTTGAATGTTACACATCAACTCAGTGCCCAAATATTGTGAAACTATTCGATGAAATTTAGACGAACGTTCTTATTTATTAGAACAAAACTACATTTTGATATGTAAGTGTGTATCTTACTTTAAATTCCGTTTAAATGTGTTTTTTTAAACTGGTAAATTACGTTGATGAATCTTCTACTGTCGAATAAATCAGTCACTTAATTGATTCTATTTACCTATGAATAGGGAGTAATCCGATATTGTAGTTTGAAGATTAAGTATTCATCAGTATTTACTTATTTCTGTTTAGTTCTAACCTATGTGTTAAAAAGGTGAAAGAGCAATGGCAGATAAAAGTCCGATTTACCCTCTACTGCTTGGACCGGAAGACACACTTTTCTGTTTAGAATTTACCGATATATGATATTTAATATCAGAAGGGGTGTTTGTGGATATTATAGTGATTTCAATAGTTGACATCATGAGTCAATTGAAGCTAGATCATCATGGTAAACGTCGAAGCACTAGATGGCTATTTTGTCCTATTGTGGGACTCGTCAGTAGAGGTCCACGAAACGGTTGTTTAGTTGTGCCAGGTTTTCCATGCTGGTCTAGCTTCAATTGACTCAAGAATTCAACTATTAAATTACTACCATCTTCACAAAACCCCCTTTCTAATAAAAAATAAAGTAAACAAAAACAATATGATAACCACTCTGGTTAACAAATCAGTAGTACAAGGGTAAGTTAAGGGTAAGAACAAATTATTTTGTGAACACATAAATGGAGTTTCGGTTTCTGTATAGCCAAGGCTTCAATAAACTTTAGTATACACTCTTGAAGACTTTTGTATAACACTACAAATGCTAACTTGATATCAACCTCATGATCAGTGTCAACTAAATGTTTCACAATGAATAAAGATATCTGTCTACTCTATGATCTTATTTGACCATCAAAATTCATTTGTTTCTGCAATTATTTAAGTATATGTTCCATCAGTCTTAGTTGCTAATCACGATCTCTCCTTCCTATATACGTGTTGATAGACACAATGAGATATGACACAATCGCTTATGTACTGTTTGAGTATTTTATCTCAGCTGATTTAGGTGAATTCAAAAAAGGGGAAGTCGATTTTCTTGTTATAGAAGGCTGATATGGCTGAATAAGTTCTAATTACTAAGATTAAACGGATCATATACTATTGAGAAACAAAAAAAGATAAAAACAAATGTAAAGTTTACGAATGAACAAGATTAGCATAAGTGAATGGTCATTGTCTGGGCTAGTGTTCATTATTATTATATTCATTCAACCATTGACATTAAAACTGTTAACGCATTCTTAATCTTCAAATTTGGCAATAACTACTTAGTCAAGCGTTAAAAACATATATAATTAGTTACTAATTTGATCTATTAAATTATAACACCAGACGCGCAATGCTGACTAGTGTTGAGGATAGTTGGAAGAAAATTAGAGGCGGCCAAACCAAAAACGCGGCATCAGTGCTTGAAGTCACTAACTTCTAGGTGGAGACATAATGGTAGATACAGACTACTTGGTTGGTATCCGCATGACTATCGTAACGAAGGCTTGGAGATTCTGGGTGACATGGTTCGGTATCGATCACAATGGCGTAGATGTATACATTTGTAGTGTCGGTTATTATGTTAAGCCCATATTCCGTATTCTGGTGTCCCGACAGGCCAATCTGCTCATTCTACTTGAGTCACATTTTGACCTTGTTAATTATTTGCTTAATATTCTTAACTGTGTTTTGTACGAGCGCATATGTGTGTGTACATTTCTTATCCCATTACTCATCACATGTCTGTAACTTTTGTGTAACTATAAAAATTGGTTAACGCGTGGTTAAATGGAGTTGGCTTACCCTCCATCTCCATTGCGCGTTGCTTCACTTCAGTTTATTCCATTCGCTTCATATAAAAAATATATATATTCAAAAGTCCATTCTTGTTATTCGACTTATTTAATTCCGTTATTGACTAACGCGATTTAAGTCGATGATTATATACGAGGATAGGCGACATAAATTATTTTGAATAACAATCATTCATACGATCAATTCGGAGTCAGATCCCAGGCCATTAAACACTCTCTGTTTTCCCTTAAATTATGAGAATAAAATCGCTTCATATCTTTCATTCTACCAACTAATTGTTTCTTCATATACTATATCCTTATATACAATCTTTCTTTTATATATTGCTACCATTTAATTAGTTGAGCGAGTCGACCGCTTCGCTTATCTTGGGAGTTTCATCAGCCCTCGTGGTCTGGTGTGTGACGAAATCTTAGCACGAATACAGAAGGCTCGACTAGCTTTTACCAACTTGCGTCATTTATGGCGTAGGCAAGATATCCGTCTATCAACCAAAGGACGTGTTTACTGTGCAGCAGTTTGTTCCGTCCTACTTTATAAAAGTGGAACATGGCCGGTAAGGATAGAGGATATTTGTAGGTTACTAGTATTCGATCATAGGTGTCTTCGAAGCATTGGTCGTATATCCTAGGACAACTGAGTCAGTAATGCAGTTGTTAGTAAACTGGTACTAGGTAAGGATGACAAAACAACTGATGAAGTAGTGAAACTTTATAAGTTGAAATGACTGGGACACGTGTTACGTATGGCCAACCACCGACTGGCCCGATGTGCGATGTTCCATGGTGTAGGAGAAGGTTGGAAGAACGTTAGGGGTGGCCAGAGCAAAGAGTGGCACAAATACATGAAGTCACTGACAAGTGGACTGATTCATGTTGGTAGGTGTAGACTACCTGATTGGGATCCGCGATATGATAGCAACCGATGGATAGAGACCTTGAATGACATGGCTCAAAATAGTTTGCAATGACACAGGTGCATCCGCTTTTTGTGTTCTCCCAAATTCTAGTCTTCTGAATTCTTCATGTCCATTTCCTTGTTCTCTTTCCAGATTTATTTCACTGGATTATGCTACATGAATAACATCTTCAAACCCTAATCTTTTTGATTACTGCTTATAATCTTGCTACCTCTACCACTACGGGATTTGAATCGACAACTGCATCTCTGTGCTAAGGTGGTGTGGCAACTCGAACTTATGTACGTACGTACGAAGTTCTACGTTGTTACTGACTAACTGACTGACCACCATTGAATTAACTACTTCTATGAATCCGGTGTTCATCTTGTTATACTAATGAGATGATGGCAACTTGGACCAATCCATATATGTGTCTGGTTCTACATGGTAACTGACTGACTGACTAAGGATAAATATAGAAACAAAGTACGCACATATTTATACAGATACACACACAACAGTAACAATAATAATAATAATCATAATAATAATAATATGGATTACCTAAATATGTTTTTGGTACTTGATCTCCATAACCAACTGTTGTCATTGTTACAATAGCCCACCATAAACCAACTGGTATAGATACAAAATCATTTTGTGGATTATATTGAAATCGTTCAGCATAATACATTAATGCAGCGAATATAACAATGAATACCATTAAAAAGAATACTAATAATACTAATTCTTTAAGACTTGCACGAAATGTATGAATGAGAATTTTTAAACCAGCTATATGACGGGTTAATTTAAATAGTCGCATAATACGTATAATAGAAAAGAATTCTAATGCTTCATAATTAGCTTCATTCGACATAATTTTAGTTAAAATTAAATCGACATAAAATGATAATAAAGCTAATAAATCAATTATATTAATAGGGGATTTAATAAATTCTAATTTACATGGTGTCACTATAAAACGTATTATAATTTCAAATGTAAACCATCCATTTGATATACATTCTATATAACTAAATAGAATATGTGATTTAATCATACGTTTACGTATTGTCCATGAAGGATCTAGATTGAATGGAGACGATGATGATGATGATATAGAATGTGTATTATGATGAGTATAGATATCTGAATACATTGATGATGATGATGATGATGATGATGATGATGACGACGACGATGATGATGGCGATGATGATGACAGTGTAGAATAAGGTGTATATGAATGTGATGTTTCATAATTTGTTAATAATTGATTTGAATCATTATATAATAATGGTATACGTAGATTGGATGATGTTTTTAAACAAAAACAAAGTATTGATAGAACAATAAAAAATACAGAGATCACAGCAATAATCTAGAAGAAAAAGAAGAAGAAAAAGAAAAGTCGAATGTAATTTACAAATAAGCTTATCATATATACAATGGTCAAATTATGGTAGATAAATATAATTCGATTAGTATCAGAAGGAGTTTTTGTGGATATTATATGAATTTCAATAGTTGAGATCATAAGTCAATTGAAGCTAGATCACTATGGGAAACCTAGTGTGGGACTCCTCAGTAGTGGGCATCCACGATCCTCGTGCTCGAGTGCTTAATCACTAGACCACTAAGCTGGCCGATATCCAACGGTGTTAATGTTTAACTTTAACTAATCCACGAAATTGAGCAACACATCCACCATTGTCATCAGGGAGTTATTATCTCACAACAGATCCGGTTGAATTACACTAGTCACTGCTTCTCGCTAATTCAGGGTGTAAGTACATTACTTAGAGTAGATCATTTAATAGTTAAGTTTACTAAAGTTGATCAATGGTGTTTTTTTTACACATCGTCTCAGTTTTTTAATCCGAATGGTTACTTCTTCAGTCAATTTTTCTTGGTTTTTTTTGTGAAAGAATTTGAGGCTTATAGGCTTTAGCAGCAAAGAAACAAACAAAACAAAACAATTCCTAACCCAATCAATAAATGTGTCATGATTTCAATAATTGAAATGAAAAAAAAAGAAAAAAAAGATAAGTCAGATACTAGTACTATCATGATTTTCCATTAAATAGGCTAGCATCAAACTGTTCCCTATTCATCATTAGACACCTTTTGCTTATCTTCTCTGAAAGGTATTCACAGATATCAACATAAATTAAGTTCAAAAAACTGATCACTAAAAAAATGAAAAATAAATTAACATTGAATAACCATAATAAAATTGTTTACAAGATTATCGATAGATACAACACATTAGTATCTATCACATGAATATTAAATTATCAACTTTGTTTTTCTCTTTTCTTTTCTTTTAAAAGGTGAATTTTTGCAGATTACATCATGTTTTCAAAACAAAACAAAAGTGCTGGTGGTGATGGTGGTGATGATGATGATGGTGGTGGTGGTGGGAGGGGGAATAGACATGTCCTAAACTATTCAGGGTTATATACATATATATATTGTATAATTGTGTGTATGGAAATATCAACGTATACATATACCTGGAAGCACTGGACGGCCGTTTCGTCCTGGTATGGGACTCCTCAGCAGTGCGCATCCACGATCCCGCACCACGCAGGGCTCGAACCCAGGACCTACTGGCTTCCCGCGTGGTGCGGGATTGTGGATGCGCACTGCTGAGGAGTCCCATACCAGGACGAAACGGCCGTCCAGTGCTTCCAGGTTTTCAATGGTGGTCTAGCTTCAACTGACTGATGATTTCAACTTGTGAAAATTTCTAAAACTCTCCACAAAACCCATTCTGGTATACATATACATATATACGTGTACATGAATATAGAGGTTATATAAGGATATATATATATATATATATATATATATATATATATATATATATATATATATATATATATATATATATATATATATATATATATAATGTCCCATATTTCTAAGCTTCATTGAACTTGTTTAACAATGATAAAAACAAGCAACGGAAGTTGATATATACATTAAGTCAGATACATTGGTATGTCATGTAATACTAATAGTAATAATGATTGTATTCAATAAACAGAGTTAGATACCATGGAATCAATTAGAATGAAATAAGTGATTATTCTAGTTCTAGTAGACTGATTTACAAGTTGATTATAAACATTATACATTTACAATTATATTAGTACATAAAAACTATACTGATTATAATGTAGGGAATGTTCAGTAGGATTTTAGTCTAGACAAATAGATAGATATGAATATTTCCGGTAACAGTTTATTCATCATTGATAAGAAACAATAAGAATCATACCTTAATAGATTATAGCATAGAATTGTAATGTATTATACACACACACACACATATAGATAGATACCTTAGGAAATGATAAAATATAAAACTGTTTTACTGATCAATATTCATAAAACTGTATATGCATGGAATGTTATTATTCTTGATGAGAATAATGGCGAAGATTTGTAGCTTAGGTGACTGATTGCGGTGAAGTTTTGTTGTCTGAGTTGGATGATTTAGTTCTGGAGATTTTCATGGTTCTTCTTCTGAACGACATCATCATCAGCAGAAGAAATTTCAGGTAGAAGTGATATATATATATATATCGCGATGAGAATAAGGAATGGTAATTGTTAGGATCTATTTCTGGACTAATACGATACATATGTATTTCGATTGTATAATTGTTAAGTAACTAAACTATTCATATTCATGTTCCTCTTGTCATAAGCTTTATTTTCACCTATAAACTGTTATTATTCTTGACTTATACCCAGTCTATCAATTACTATCTCCCACATTCACAGCAACATTTGGCCAAATCTTGAACAAATGTTATTTTCCATTTGATTATCATTAGCTTCATTCAATATTATATTTGTGGTACAATATACAATTTTCAGTGCAAAGTATTTCAACAAGTTTCCTTTTCTTATTTCTTGATTGATCCTGACGATAACATATTCAGTGATTGCCAGTTATATGTTAGCAGTTGGGGAATTGACATCTGAATAATGTTCGTTCTATTCAATGCATATTGCCAACCATCATGATGCCGCTGATTGTACCCTTTCGTAACCTGTACAGCGAAATGTCGTAAACTTTTCATAAACGTGCCCTGAATAGATTGTGCGCTCAATAGACATAATGATGTGTTAAAATAAATAAGAAAACAAATAACTTGTTGAAATATCTAGATGGCAGGAACCGGTAGTCCAGATATTCAACCAGGCCGCCTGTCTTTCTGATTGGTTTGTAAACCTAGTATGTTTGAAATACATGATTCATATCGCAGAGTCTGAGATTCTTGTTTCTGAACTTAACAGACAGGGTTAGGCGGGAAGCAGGACCGTTAAGGACTGTGGATTGCTTGTACGGGTTTTATACGTCATTAGTCTAGTCGATAAATCACTGTTCTCTAATTGGCGGTATCATTACGTCATATATTTATAGGACCCAAGGCTACAGGTTATAACAATTGAATGTTACATTCTTTGAACTAGTTGGTTTAATTCATAAGCTAACTTTATTGTAGATATCAATTTGAGTAATAATAATAAGCCTCCATTTCTAGTTAAAGTGAGTTTTACAAGGAACACTAAATGAGTTCATTCATATGACCTCATAGTGACTGGTTATCTTTTATTGATTCTATTATTTTCATGTTACTTATTGATTGTGTTTATTTGATTGACCTCTGACCATATGGTTAATAAACATTTTCCATACGCTTATTATGATAAACTAAATCTATATCATTATGCTGACTGATTAGAGATTGATGTATTATACTACTATAAATTGTTTGTTATTCATAGGATTTTTTTCCCTGTTCATTTTTTGCCCGCATTATTCCACTGACTGTATTATAAGTAAATGCACATAATATAACTTAACATGTAATCTTCAGAGTATTAATGCTCACTGGCAAATCCAGCTTCATATTCACCAATGAGCTATCCGCTTTTCTACATAATGAATACGATGTCAAGTCAATTAGACTAGGAAACATATTAGAACTTGATCGATAGAATTCGATTAGCGTTCATGAACCGATTAGTGTTAGAGCACTATTGAAAACCTGGAAGGACTGAACGGCTGTTACATCCTATTATCGAACTCCTCAACAATGCACATCTACGATCCACGATAAATAAATATTATTGAATACAGTCTAATGAATATCTAATTGCAAACTATATTGTCTACTACTACTACCACCACCACCACCACTACCACAACAACAACAACAGCAACAACAACAACAACAACAACAACAACTACTACTACTACTACTACTACTACTAATAATAATAATAATAATAATAATACTTGTAGCTCAGCAGGACAACTTTAATGAAGTTTTGTTCTCTGAGCTGGATGATTTGGTCGTGAAGCTTTCATCGTTCTTTTGAACGACATCTTACAAAAAAGTAAACAGTGACAGGTTTAAGATCAACAAGAACCAATCAACATCAAGGTGTACATTATTCAGATATCGATTTCTGAATTGCTAATATCTAATTGACGATCACTCAATATGTTATCGTCAAGATCGATCAAGAAATGAAGAAAGAAAACTTGTTGATGTACTTTGTGTTGAGAATTCTCCATTGTACCAAGACTAAAAAATTGAATAAAGCTAATAATAATATATATTTACCTTGACTTAATACTCTAAAGTCTGTTGTCAAGACAGTTACATTGAAATTTCTATAAAACAAAATGATCACGTTATACAAACGTTACCATGACAATGTGTTCATGTAAATGTAACTTGGAATAAAATACGTTGTATGATACGTTCATAGATATGTCTCTATGTGGGTTTTTTTAAAAAAAATAAAATCTTATTAGATACAGACGTAACTTAATTAACAGAAAACTAAGGAATAAGTTTAGCAGATGTCAATTTATTGATTTTCTGAGCTCTTTCTTGATGAATAACAAGTTCAATTACTGAGTTAAGATAAGTAAATGAAGAATTCTGTACTTAAGACTAATATATACATTCGGTAAGTTAACTGATTAAAGTGTGATAATCAAAACTCTGATTATTACGTAGAATAGATGGAGTGTCAATGGTAGTGTAACTCAAACTGTAGCTCATCTATAGTTATTTCCAACCCAAAACCCATGTAGAAAAGGAAGGTTTAGGATGGAGTCAAATACCTTATTCCTTAGAAAATAACGTTGTCAAAAAACGTTAACCAGAATAAACATTTTAAACCATTTAGACTCTGTCCTCCGAGTTGAACGATATTCATTCAGACGAATCATCATGCCTCATGGTGAAAGCTGAGATTCTTCGGAAGTCACGAGGTTGACGTCCGTTCTAACAACCAGAGCAACAAATTTTGTAGGTATATAGAACGTTCGGACAATGAGGAAGA